CAACAGTACAATGATTGAAATTTCTTTTGAGAGCCAAATTTTTTAAGCTTAAACTATATAGGTAGGTCCATTGTTATTAACTTAATTAGGGAAGAGCCACACTCAAGGGGCCAAAGATCCACATGTGGCTCGTGAGTCACAGTTTGCTGACCATGGGACTAGGGTATTGTGAAATTGGTCTTCTTGCCCTTTAAAATGCTCCCAATCTCAGGTTTGCTTCCACATGTGTAGCTTCTCTGCTGAACTCTTGGGCTTTCTCAAAGGCACTCAATTTAGTGTATGATTGTAATATTATGTAATGTTTTTTGGTGAGGGAAGATGGTAGAAAATTCATATTTCACCATTTTGATCTCAGTGTTTTTAATTTTTATTTTAAATAATCATATCAAAATGACTATTTTTGGTGTAAAGTTCTTGATTATGGGAGAGAAAGAGAGAGAGAGAGATTGCTCAAATTTGTATATATATATAGAGAGAGAACATAAATTTGTTGTTCCATTTATTTATGAATTCACTGGTTGATTCTTGTATGTGCCCTGACTGGGGATTGAACCCACAACCTTGGTGTACCTGGACAATGCTCTACCCAGCCAGGGCAGTTCTGTGAATTTTGAATACATTGTATAGATCACATAACCATCACATGATTATGATACAAAACAATTACATGTAGTATTTTAAAATAAGTGCCAACATCCAGTTTCATCATAGATGCAAGGACTGAACATAGCAGCTGGTCAAAACATCAGTTTTCTCTTCCATATACAATTACATCCATAGGCTAAATAGTTTACTTTCAAAACAGCATCATCCCAACTTATTATTTTTTTCTCCTCATATATCAGAATAGAATTTCATAGCTGCCTTTCCAGAATTCCTTTCTAGCATAATTTTGTGGTGGGTTTTGACAATGTGATTTGGAAGGTGGAGGAGAAATTAACTATCTGGGCCTGAATTTCTTAAGAGTACATCTAGGAGACTATTCACACATGGACTCTGAGGATCAATGAAGCATCTTTATCTAAATCTCTGGAGAGAGAACTACAGGAAAGAGCTGAGCTTTCATGTACATGTCTATGGATAACGTTTACAGGGCCTTACAGAAAGATGTGTCCTTCTTCAGAACTCTATCCCGATAACCCTTAGAGTTTTATTTTGTTTTATAAACGAATGGTTGTAAAAAGGGAATTAAAGAAGTGCTTCCTTTTGATGCTGGCACTTCAGAGAAAAAGAGTAGTTTTAAAAAATTATGTAGTCATAGGGACATTTGTCATATTTGATGCTGGCACTTCATAGAAAAATAGTAGTTTTAAAAATTTGTGTAGTCATAGGGACATTTTCCCATGCATCCCAGAGATTTCTCCCTGGTCTTTGAAAACTATCAATCTCTAGGACAGTAATCACAAATGAGATCTTATACACGAATATCAGGTTGACTGCAATAAAACTATGTGGGTGAGGTTTATTAATTGCAAATTGGTGGGTCTCAATACTGGAAAATATGATTCATAAAATTAGTGGTGAGGTACAAGAATCTATAATTTTAAATAATTCACACATATCAGCTATTGCATGAAGATCAGCTGGTATAGCTTTAACAATTTGAAAAGCTGGGAAAGAAGAGAGCCTTAACTTATGCTCCAGGCTTTTGCTGTAAATACACATCTTTGGGGCTCTCTATCCTGTCAGGGAGAATTATTTGATTAAAGTTTGGCCACAAAATTTGGCATATGGATGGTAGTAGAAAGCATTTTTGAGGCTACCTTATCTTGGAGTTAGTGAAATAATGAGAGGATAAGATACTGATCTCAGTTCATTTTTTTAGTGATTTGGTACCTTAAATTATGATGTTTCTTCTGTATAGGATTCATACTTTTTATTTTTAATGATTCTGAAATTCAGAAATATTTGACTATTGATAAGACAGTGTGACTTTTTCCCTCTGGAAAGCTTTCATTAAAAAAATAGCATTCTTTATAATTGTATAATTTTAAAATCAAGGAATACTATATCTCATGTAGTAGTGAATCTTCAATGAAAGACTGTTTATTTCTGTTTAATTTTAAAAATATTTAGTAGTCATGTAATAAATGTCAGTCACTGTTCTATATTGGGGTATAGTGCTAAAGAGTAAAGATCGCTCAGTAAAGATTTGACTTCTTTATAGTTCCTCTGATTTCAACCCCAAACCCTTTTTGACATTCAATGAATTGTAGGCAGGCCCACAATGGATACATGAGTATATAAAATACTGCATTAAAATGCTCAAAAAGGTTGATATCTTCCAACTATAGATATATACTCAGATGCTCTGTTAAAGGATTCCCATGTCAGGCATTGTCCTAAGAAAATAAATAGACCTGATAATCTATAATAGTCATTGTCCAGATTTTTTTATGAGGCATAAATAAAGTCAGAGATGAGAACGTATGCCACTTAGGAAGAGCCTAAGAATCATGTATCCTCCTTCTGATCAGGATGTCAGTATAGGTAAATGCACTACTCCCATCCTCTCACAACCACATAAAAATTACAACTAAACTACCGAACAACCATCATTTGAAACTGCCTGAAATCTAGCTGAATGGAAGTCGTGCAACTAGGCATACAATAACAAAGCCATATCGAGACTGGTAGGAAGAATGGAAATACAGAACAGGTTGGTTCCACACCCACGTATAGTGGATAAAAATTGAGAGGTATATCTCAGCTGCAGAGGTTCCCCCTGAGGATTGAGGGGTCCCAGCTCCACACCAGGCAAGCCCCCTCCCCGAGCCCAGGGTTCCAGTTCAGGAAGAGAAGTCGCCATAGCTTCTGGCTGTAAAAACCAGCAGGGATTGAGACTGAGTGATATTAGGAGTGGTCGGGAGGAGAGAAGGGCTTTTGGAGTTCCAGGTTGTTCTTATAGGGCCCATGCATGGTCTCACTAGGACTCTCTCTGACCTCTAGCACTGGGGCAGCAGCTCAACAGGCACCAGAGACATACAGGGAGGACCTAAAATGTCTGGCATCAGAGCAAGAGCTGGTGGGCAGCTTTCTCCTGGACAAAGGCCGTTGTTTCTTTTTTAGCCTTTCTCCACAGAGTCATATCTGAGTCTCCATCAACCTGGCTATCATTCTTTGCCCCATCCAAGTAATTCCTTGAGACCTGCCCTACCCAACCTGTAGACCCACCCAAGCTTTTTCCAGTGGCTTTTCCATATGAATAGCCTGTTTTGGCTTATGCTTCAGACTTCTCTCAAATCTTTCCAACAAACAGCATTTGGCCTTGGCATACCCCATACCTCTTCCTAAGTGGCCCCAGACCTGACACTAACATTAGCCAGTCTTGGTTCACAGCTTGGCCTCTTCCAGACACTTCCAAGGGCAGCATAAATAACAGACATCTTCAAGTTGCTCTGTAGCTCATGCCAAGTGGCCCCAAGCAGAACACAGGCAGTGGCTGACTTTGGCCTGCACTTCCTGGAAGGCCCCGAAGCCAATTCAACCCACGGACAGTTTCAGACTCATCAAAGCACCACCCTATCACCTCCACAAGTGACAAACTCAAGGGGCAAACTTAGCAGCCCCCAAAGTCCCACTGAAGTAAGTCTTGCTCTGTGTGGCAGACCCTTGCACAGCTGATTCTCCAGGAGGGTAAATCCCTTGCAGCAGATTGATCTGGGGTAAATCCCTCACACTGATGTGCTAACAACAATCTCGTAGGCTCACCTACAAGAGGAGGGTGTACAGAGCCTACACAGGGGTGGGGGCACACCTGGAGTGCCCAAGCTTAGGTGAAGGGGGAGGCTGTGCCACTACTAGACCCTACAGGATACCTATTACATTAGGCCACTCTACCAAGCCTATGAGATGCAGCAGCTCTGCCTAATGCATAGAAACAAACAAAGGGAGGCAGCCAAAGTGAGGAGACAAAGAAACATGTCTCAAATGAAAGAACAGAACAAAACTCCAGAAAAACAACTAAACAAAATTTTGACAAGCAATCTACTAGATGGAGAGTTCAAAACACTGGTTATAAGGATGGCTAATGGACTTAGGGGAAGAATGAATGAATTTACAGAGAACTTCAACAGCATAAAATGGGACATGGGAACCATAAAAATGAGCCAATCAGAAATGAAGGATACACTAACTGAAATGAATAATAATTTAAAGGGAACCAACTGTAGAGTAGATGAAGCTGAGACTCAAATCAGTGATTTGGAATACACGAAAACAAAACGCATCCAATCAGAAAAGCAAAAAGAATTTAAAAAATGAAGATAATGTAAGGAGTCTCTGGGACAACTTCAAGTGTACCAGTATTTGTATCATGGGAAGTGTACCAGAAGGAGAACAGACAGACCAAGAAGTCAAAAACCTATTTGAAAAAAATAATGATTAAAAACTTCCCTAACTTGTTGAAGGCAATAGACATACAAACAAGATGAACTGAAATAGGTCTACACCAAGATACATTATAATTAAAAGGCAATACTTAAAGACAAAAGGAGAACCTTAAAAGCAGCAAGGAAAAAGCAGTTAGTTAACTACAAGAGAGCTCCTATAACGCTGTCAGCTGATTTCTCAACAGAAACTTTGCAGGCCAGAAGGGAGTGGCAAGAAATATTTAAAGTGACGAGCAGTAAGGGCCTACAACCAAGATTACTCTATCCAACAAAACTATCATTTAGAATCAAGGGACATAGAAAGAGCTTCTCAGACAAGAAAAAGCTGAAGGAGTTCTTAATTGCCAAACCAGTATTGCATAAAATATTAAATGGTCTTCTTTAAGGTATTGTCTCAAAGGAAAAAAAAAAGACCTGAGATCTTCGGATAGTCATTGTTTAGATTTCTAAACGCAGCTGAGAACTGACATGTGCCTCAGTGTCACAGATGAGAACTGTGGTATTTGGGTGGTAACCTAAGAAACATTTCAATCCCTCTCCACCAGGAGGTGCTGTTTCCCAACACAAACACATTTCCTGTGTGAAATGTAGGCTTCAGTTTATTGTTTCATGGTGACTCTAACATTTCTTCATGTTAAGAATCAGGAACAGTATTTAGGTGACATTGTAGAGATGAACTCGTCTCTGGGCTTAGTAACTGTGGTACTCTTAGTGTTTGGTAAGTAACATGCCTCTTAAAATATGGATTCTTTCTTTTATTAAATTAGCAAGTTCTCTAACCATAATTTTATTTCTGAGTGTCATGTCCAGGATAATATACATTTCTTTTCTTTTTCTCCAGGACAAACCCATGGAGACTCAGTGACCCAGATGGAAGGCCAAGTGACTCTGTTAGAAGGGGCTCCCCTGACTGTGAATTGTACTTATTCAGCCACAGGGTACCCCACTCTTTTCTGGTATGTTCAGTATCCTGGAGAAAGTCCACAGTTCCTCCTGAAAGCCGCAACAGTCAATGGAAAGGGAAGAAACAAAGGTTTTGAAGCCACATACCAAAAACAACCAAATGCCTTCCACTTGGAGAAAGCCTCAGCCCACCAGGCAGATTCTGCAATGTACTACTGTGTGCTGGGTGACACAGTGACAGAAACTGCAGGGGGAGTTGAGCACAAACATGGAACCTGGACCTATTGTGAGCAACCACCAAGAAACACAGTGATGTTTGCTGTACACTTGTGGAAAAGTTTTGAAATCAGAAGCACTAAGTACATTTGAATAATTTAGGAAGATGGTGCTGTGTGTGTGTGTGCACGCATGTGGGTGTATTTTGAGGGCATTTGAGGAATGGAGAATGAAAATCAAAGGACTGAATGAGAAAATACATAAGTAACAGACTACCCATGCTCTCTACCAGTGCCTTTATCACAAGCAATGACTACTTCTCAAGACCAGCAGAAAATTGGCAGTTAATCATCGATGAATCAAAAACAGCACAAAAAAAGTAAGAAAGCCAAAATAATTAAAATAGAAAAACATAGTATCCTATATAATAAAGAGGTAATATGCAAATTTACCATCACACCCTCGCACAAGATGGCCACCCCCATGTAGGCACAAGATAGCCACCAAAGATGGCCTGCAGGGGAGGGCAGTTAGGGGTGACCGGGCTGGCCAGGGAGGGCAGTTGTGTGGTGGGGAACAGGCATGCAGGGGAGGGCAATTGGGGATGACCAGGCAGGAAGGGGAGCAGTTAGGCATCGATCAGGCTGGCAAGGGAGTGTCTAGGGGGCAATCAGGCAGGCAGGTGATTGGTTGGGGGCTAGCAGTACTGGATAGTGAGAGGGGTCCCAGATTAGAGAAGGTGGGCTGGGCTGAGGGACACTCCCCCAGTGAGCAAATTTCATGCTCTGAGCCTCTAGTGCAGGGGTCCTCAAACTACGGCCTGCGGGCCACATGCAAATACAAATATTGTATTTGTTCCCATTTTGTTTTTTTACTTCAAAATAAGATACCTGCAGTGTGCATAGGAATTTGTTCATAGTTTTTTTTAAAACTATAGTCTGGCCCTCCAATGGTCTGAGGGACAGTGAACTGGCCCCCTGTTTAAAAGGTTTGAGGACCCCTGCTCTAGTGTATTATAAATATTAATTAAATTTTGAATAATATTTTAGGAAAAATATTCAAAAGGAATGTACTCACAGTACTCTATATGGTTCAACCAAACAGTCTCCTAGATAAGTTTTATCTATATATATAAAAGGCTAAGTGTCCGTCCTTCCTTCCAACTGGTAGCTATGATATGCACTGTCCACCAGGGGACAGATGCTCAATGCAGGAGCTGCCATGGCACGCACTGGTCATTTAAAAATAAATGGTGCCAGGTTCGTGGACAAACCAACACTCAGCTTCCTCCAAGTGCGACACAGGCCCTGCCACCACCCTGGAGTGACACCCGACCAAATCACAGCCAACACTGCCAAGAACCATGGCACAAAATGTGGCCCATAGTCCAGCCCAGCCAGGAAACAGTTGCTGTGGGTGCCAGGTAATGACATCACGCAGGAACGCTTGGCTTTCTCTCCCTAGTGACTAGCCTCCTTGGAGAATCTTCAGAACAGGAACACAACTTGCTTTACTAGTATAGCCAGGTGCAAACATTTTGCAGTTCAACCAAATGTTTGTGAAGCATTTTCCCATGCCTCATCTCATTTGATTCTCACAGAAGTCCTGGAATAGGTAGATAGAAAACTCAGTAGAATCCTACCTTCTTTTCATTAGCAAGACACGGAGATTTAGAAAGCTTAGAAACTTGACCCGACTGAAAAGAAGTAAGAAATGGTGGACTTTGAAAATGACTTCAGGTTTTCTCACTGCACAGAATATAGTCAAATACTGCTGCAGTTAAATATTTTGCCCTTTGTTCTCCCTGCCTGATCTACAATAATAATTTGCTTTGTGTTGATATTTACTGCTGTGTTGCTGACAATTACCTGAAAGAGAAGTTTGGGTGCTTCACTGGGCTAGAAAAAGTTTAGCTAAATCAGCAAGCAGGTCTAATTAAGCAAGTTTACCTATATATAGAAAAGGCTAAGTTGGCTCATGCATGTGCGATACATATAAAGCTCTTGCTGGCACCAATTGCATGCGTGTGTTTTGATCTGTCATTGTAAATCATGAATTTGGTTGACACTTCTATTATAGAGAAAAAGCAAATAACGATATCAAAATATTTATTCGAATTAATTTCCTTCCAATGTGCACAAATCTGTGCACTGGGACACTAGTAAATATATAATACTAAAAGAGATGATAGGGCAGAATACCTGTTTTCCTCATACATAGTGTATTACAAAGTTTTAAAAATTTTCTTTATCATTTAGGCTTTCTTTTATTTTTAAATGATTTCTTTAATTATCAATGAGATATTTTCCTATATCTAAAAGTCATTTACATTTTTCTCAATTGTCCAGTAATATATTTGCCTATTTTCTACTGGTATGTTTTTTAAATATAGATTTTAGAGAGCATCTTCTATATTAATGAGGTTGTCATAAGGCTATCACACATATGTGTCTTTAAAAAAGGTTTATTATTACTCTTCTGATTGTATTTATGGTCCCTTTTTCTTTTTTGCCATGCAAATTTAAAAGATAGCTTTTAATATTAGTAAATTTATCAAAATTTCTTTTTGTGGATTCTGAGTTACATTAAAAATTTATAACACTCTGAAATGATAAAAATTTACCTCATATTTTCTTTAATTTCTTTTAGGTTATTTTTGTCTTTAATACTGTAGTCTAGATTTGTTGTTGTTGTGTGTATAAGAAGTGAAGTTAGGTTCAAAACTTTAGATTTTTCTTTGTTTATTTTGAGGCATGTACCCAGTTTCAATATCCATTCTTGAGTAAGTCATTTATTCATTGATTTTAAAGGTTATCTTTGTCTTTTTTCCCCATTTTTCATTGTTTCTTATTAATATTTTCAACCTAAGCATTTTTAAATTATTATTTTATTTTATTTTGGAGAGAGGAGAAGGGAGAGGGAGAGAGAGACAGAAACAGCAATGATGAAAAAAACATCAATGGGCTGCTTCCTATACCCCTCCACCTCCAACTGCGGATCAATCCTGCAACCCAGGTATGTGCCCTGACCGAGAATCAAACCAATTACCTCTTTGTGTATGGGATGATGCTCAATTCACTGAGCCACACCTGCTGGGCTGTTTTTTCATACAAAATTTATACTTTAATATTAGTGTCGCTTCATGCCAATAGCTTATTGGGTCTATGAAGAATATATATCTAGTCAACCTCTAAGACTTCCTAGAAATAAATACAGAGAAAATGATATGAATGGAAGAGATGCCATTAAAGAAAGAGGGAATAGTAATAAACTACTTCATTACTTTACAAGATGTGTTATCTCAGGCAAGGTCTACTATTTGCCTGTTTTCCCAACATCGTGAGTTGTTTGGGATGGATAAGATTCAGACTAAGTAGCTGACAACGTGCTCACAAATACTTCACATAACAATGGGAAGTAGAAAACGCATTTTGGAGAACAAGGACAACGTTGTAACTTCTGAGTTCTCATAGGGGAGGAATTAAATAGACAAGAATTGGATTTAGAGTTTGGAAGAGTCCTAAGTACTTGAATACCTTGAAATCTGCTGCTGCCTCAGTGATTTGGGTCCTGCCATTGCTTTGGGGAGAATTTTTGAATTTTTTCTGTTACCACATAGATTTCTTGGTGAAGTTTGTAAATATCCATTACAGTAACTATTATTGTCTCTCTGGAGGTGTTGTTGATAAATGGTTGTATTTCATATGTAGTGCTCTTAATATAAGGAGAATGGGTATGCAGAGTTCTGTTGTAATGTCATTCTTTCTCATTCTTCCTCTCCCCTACCCTCTCTTCTTTCAGTTTTGTCTCTCTCAAATTTTCTGGGCTGATTCTGTGGTTTTGCCCTTCCCTGGTGTATGCATCTCTGAGGAATCAACCATTTCTAGGGGCTGTAATTTCATTACCATTAACACTTAAAATAATTTTATTGTGAGATATAACAAATATTCAAAAGAGTATATAAACCTACACACAATGAATCTATATTATTTAGGTGTATACAAATTTAAGGCTATGATTTTTTGAATATAAAATCTCTCTATTTTTTAAAATGACTCTCTATATTAGAGTTCTCCAGAGAAACAGAACCAATAGGATCAATAAGATGTTTGTGTGTGTGTGTGTGTGTGTTTGTGTATGTGTGTGTAGCCCCGTGAGTGGAGAGAGAGAAAGACTTTAAGGAATTGGCTCATGTAATTGTGGGGACTGGCAAATCTAAATTTTCAGACTGAAGAAATATATTTTTTATATATTAGGAACTCTGATATTAGATACATTTACATTTATAATTATTATGTCCTCTTGATTAATTGACTCCTTTATTATTACATAACTAGAGGCCCAGTGCACAGATTCATGCACTAGTGGGGTCCCTCAGCCTGGCCTGCCACCTCTAGCAATCAAGCCCCTTTTGGGGATGTCAGACTGCCGGTTTTGGCCTGATCCCTGCAGGCCAGGATGAGGGACCACACCTATGCACGAATTTGTGCACTGGGCCTCTAAGCTATATCTATAAAAGCCCAGCGACTCTTACAGCAAACGACCAGAATGATGGGTCACTATGACGTGCACTGACCACCAGGGGGCAGATGCTCAATGCAGGAGCTGCCCCTTGGTGGTCAGTGTGCTCCCACAGCGGGAGTGCCGCTCAGCCAGAAGCTGGGCTCATGGCTGACAGCACAGCAGTGGTGGCGGGAGCCTCTCCCACCTCTGCAGCAATACTAAGGAGTGGTGAGCCAAGCAGTAAGGAGCAAGCAGATGGGCAGTAAGTAATGGTGAGCCAAGTGGTAAGGAGTGAGCAGGCGGGTGATTAGGAGTGAGGGGTCCTGGATTCTGAGAGGGATGTCTAACTGCCGTTTTAGGCCCTTGGGATCAGGCCTAAACTGGCAGTCAGACATCCTCTGAGGGGTCCAAGATTGCAAGAGGACACAGGCCAGGTTGAGAAACTCCCCTGTGCATGAATTTCATGCATTGTGCCTTTAGTATGCATATAAGATCTTTGGTT